TGGAACTGTGATGAAGCAATGGCAAATGAGAAATAAGATGTGAGCAATCTGAACTCAGGTGTTTGAGAAGGAGTTTACTCTGACGGAATTGAAGGCAGCCCTCAAAAAGTGTAAAAAGAGAAAGGCCTCAGTACCAGACCACATCACCAATGAGATGATCCTCAACCTGACAGACACTTCCCTCTCCATACTCCTGGACTTCTTCAACATGACCTGGAATGAGGGACAACTCCCAACAGAATGGAAGAAAGCAAACGTCACACCAATACTGAAGAAGGACTAATCCAACAAGCCAGCCTTCAAGCTACAGACCAATCTCTTTAACATCATGCCTGGGTTAGGTCCTCGAGAGAATGGTCAACGACAGACTGTACTGGTTGATGGAAAACACCGGCACAATCAGCACATTACAGGCAGGATTCAGGAAAGGCAAAAGAACTATGGACCACCTCATTGGATTTGCCCAGAAATCCAGCGGTGCCTTTCAAGAAAAAGACAATGTTGTGGCCGTCTTCATCGACCTGAGGCTGGCGTATGACCATGTGTGGAGACAGGGCCTGTTCTTCAAAATGCAAAAGCTTGGGATAGCAGGAAGGATGTACAGCTGGATCAAAAACTTTCTGTCTTGCAGAACTATCCAGACGTCATGTGACAACAAGATTTCTTCACAGAGGACACTTGAGGAAGGCCTCCCACAGGGGTCAGCACTCAGCTGTACCCTCTTCCTGTTTTTCATGAACGACTTGCCAGATGTCATCTCCTGTCAGAAAGCTCTCTGCGCTGACGACTTGCTCATCTGGAGCAAAGGAAGTGACATGAGAGCACTGAACCAAGCCATCAACGCAGATCTGACTACTATCTCATCCTACAGCCAGCTTTGGAAGATGGAGATCAACACAAAGAGGACTGTTTTTGGACTCTTCAGCCTCAAAAACAAGGTTACAGCAGGTCAGATAAACCTTAAGATCAATGGAACCAACATCAGACATGAGGACTATCCCAAGTACCTTGGTGGTGGTGTACAACTGGACAGAAAGCTGTCTCTCAAAGAACACTTAGGGGAGCTGACCAAGAAAGCCACCTCCAGACTAAACCTTCTGAAACACCTTTCATCACTCAACTGGGGAGCTGACAAAGCAACCCTCCGACAACTTTATATAGGGTATGTCAGATCTGTGATTGACTACTCCCTACCACTACAATCCATAGCCAGCCAAAGCTTTTTGGCACAGCTTGACAGAGTACAGAACCAAGCACTCAAATTTGTTTCTGGCGCAATGAAGACCACGCCTACAAGCGCCTGCGAAATCCACACCAACATAGAACCACTGGACCTGAGAAGAAAGAGTGCTACATTCGAAACCTGCGAAAGATTTTTGCGACTAGAAGACACGAACGAAAACAGAAAAATTGCAGATGAGTAGGAACCAAGAACACGCATCCAGAAGACCTCCTTCGTGCGAGAAGCAACAAAACTACTTGAGGAGTTTGACCCACCCGAGAACAGAGAACCAATCACCAACATCAGCGAACCTCCATATTGGCAGACACCAGAAATCACAATAAGGACGAGACTTCTAGACCCTTCTTGTGACAAGACCACACCAGAAGAAATCCTCAGAACTAATGCCCTGGAGACAGTGGACTCGTATACTGAAACCCCAATTCATGCATGCACAGATGGGTCAGCAACAAACGCTACACGGAATGCTGGATACGGACCCAACATCAAATATCGAAACAACCTTGGAGAGAAGAAGCAGACCCAACTATTTGGCCCATGTGGAACATACAGCTCTAACTACGACGCAGAGAGAATCGCCATAGCAAAGACCCTGGAGCAGATCACCCAAGACTTTTTTGAAGGCGCAGTAACACCAGGGAATGTTGTTGTCTTCTCTGACTCAATGTCAGTACTCCAAGCCGTCGAGGGAGGAGGAGACTACAGAGGGGACGGGAACATTCTCAGTTTCTCAGCCTTGTAAAACAGACGGGCACTTCCTATGGCGTCCAGGTCATACTGCAGTGGGTGCCTGGCCATTCTGGAGTACCAGGGAATGAGACTGCAGACCATCTATCAAAGACTGGAGCAAGCCTGCCCCAGAAAGACACAGCCGCCTCTTTATAGACCTGCAGAGGGATCATCCAAGCCAAAAGCAGAGACGAATGGCTAAACAGATGGGCCAACGCAGAAACAGGAAGATCTCTCTTTGGGTACATACATGGACAAACCCAAACCCAAAGACCCATCGAATCTCTTATGCAGAGCTGATCAGACTTCAAACTTCAGAGCGCGCACAGGACACCTACACACCAACAAGCACATAAACAGAATTAACCCCATGTGGGAACCCCATAATATATTTTAATATTTTATTTTTATCTGCATTTATGTCTTACAAAATTGCAACCATGTTAATTATTACCACAATACAAATATAAATCATAAAGATGTTACTTTTATAGCTCCCTGTCACTTATGTCTCTAAGAAAGTGTTTCACAGTGCTTATCTTCCACAGCAGAGTATGTGATTCTTTTTCTTCTTCTTTTCAAGTCCTTTCAATACATCTTATAAGAGTAGTGAGCCATTCAATCCAGCTAACTTCATTTACTCAATGTATAATGCTCATTTACATGATATATAGACTTCATCTGAAACTTCTAGACATCAAAGATTAGAGCATACCTGTTGGAGTAAATGGTGTAAAGTACTCTTATGCTTTTGTTAACAGTGTCACTGTTTGATATTGATATGTATTTTCTTGAAATTTTAATTTGAAGATTCATTTCGATTTCTAGAATTCATGTTGTATGGATAAAAAGAGCAAGTTGTTATAGCAGGAATAAGTTTTTACAACACCAAAACCCCAAAAGCGACAGCAGTATGGAAATTGCCATGGGGTCCAAATGGACCCCAAAGCAAAAATGGGTGGTTTCAAGATATTTTCACTCTATTTATTAGGGGGTCCAAATGAACCCCAAAGATGTAAATCTCAAAATTCAGGGGAGGCATTCCGGGTGAGTATATCATGCACGTGAGAGTAACAAAATTTGGGGTGGTCAGGCAGGGGGTCAATCAGGAAAAGTCAAGAAATTTTAGATTCGTAGGTCAAAAATTGACGATTTTAGAGCAAAAAAACATGGCCTTGGGGTCTATTGGACCCCAAAGATGGAAATAAGGTAAGGAAGTGGCTATCCTCACCCGGGGTGAGAATAAAAACCCTACGATCGACCTCTCACCCCGGGTGAGACTTGCCAGCGTTGGCTATTCTCACCCAG